TAGCCACTGGGATTTCAAGTGTGGGCCACCATGCCCAGCCAACACCTCATTTCTTAAACCTTTCTTAACACTGGAGAATCTGAATCAGTTTTCATAACCATATATCCATATCAAGAGATCTGGCCTCTCTTCTGAGAACATAAGAGGAAGCAGTATATCAAGACACATTATCTTGTAAATTAAAAAATAAATACTCCAAACCCAGTGAGAGATTGGAATGCGTATTTCACTTTGTCATGTGTTGTTAGAATAGGAAGTAGGGAATGTAATTATCTTTTGAATTTTAGAGATGTATCAAACTTTGCAGTTTGACAAAACAAGTATTTAGCAAATATTATGTTTGTCTTCTTTTTATATTTGTTCGTTGTTGTTGTGTGTTCTTTATTTTAAAAGTGGAATTGAACATATTTAGAAGCTAAAAAGAGAAAAAGGCACATCATTCAAAGTTTAAAAGTATTGGAGTCAGTAAAGTTGATGGAGAATTGTGGCTCTATCCTAATGCCAGCATAAAAATAAATTCCAATTTTATTTTATTCTAAATAAGTAATGGAAATAAATTGTGTAATATAGTATACATTTCAGAATGGTTTACATAAAATATTACAGTGCCTTTGTAAGTATGATTGAATCACCAGGATAAGTCATGGTTAAAAATGATGAATGTCATTCAATAGGAAAAAATAATAATCTGAGCTAAAATGTAACTGAGTACTTTCTATGAGTATAATACAGTTAGAAATGATTTACATGAATTATATTATTTATTCTTTGTGATTCTACACAACAAATCCATGCAGTAGGTACTATTATTATCTCCATTTTATATACTAAGTGACAGAGAGGTGATATTTGCTCATGGTTCCACATTGACAGACCATGAATCTAGGCAGTCAAAAAAGCTACTCTCTCAATGTCCATGCTTAGGATGCTATAGAAACAAGACAGATTTAGAGCCAGAAAACAAGGCTGATTTAGTGCCAGGAAACAGTTCCTCCTAATCCTTCCTTAGGTCAATTGACATTTTTTCTGATTAGGCTCTCCTTGTAGACTGCCACCTCCCCAACTTGCCAGATACATCACTGCTATAAATCTTTGATTTAATCATCCTACCATTGCTATTTCCTTTTCAAATATCAAAGTCAATTTCTGCTACCTAAAAAAATACAATAATAACAATAATATTTGGAAATTATTTCAGTGCAACTTGTTAGGGTACACCCAGAAAGAGTCTTGAAAATGTCAGAAGGAGCATATTATACAATTCTTTAGCAGATGATTCATTTCTCATCAACAAACAAAAGATCTCCTGTATAGGTACAATTTCAGTTAGATAATATTTCCTTTAATGTGAAGATTTTTACTTATCAAAAAAAATTTGTCTTCAAAGGAAGACAGAAGAAGATCTTTTGAAAATAATTTGGCTGAAATCTGGATGACATGGGGCATATGCTAACTAGGGACAACCTGGTCAGACTATCTAGTTTCAAAACAGCTTAGATGAAAGTACCAAACCTACAGTGTCATTTCCCTGAGTGACAGGTGAAGGAATTTGAAAATATGTCAGTAGTTTGTTTACTTTTTTCAAACCTTTATTGCATTACTCTTTTTTTTTCACTCCTGATTTAAAAACAAACAAACAAACAAAAAAACCCAAAACAAAAAACTAGTAATCAATATAGAAAACCATAAATTTACAGTATTTACATCCTACCTCACTGTGCCACTTTTCATGATCATTCTAATGCAGTTGGATTTCTACTATATTTTGTGCACTGTTTGTTCAAATTTAGCTCAGGTTAATTTGTATTAGTGTTTACATGCTCTATTTCTCTGTAGGTCATTCAGGAGCTCTTATGGAAAAAGAGGAATTAATTCTTTTGTTCTGCATTCTTATTTTCCTAGGTAACCATGTTCCAAAAATATCCACCTCTTCACCCAATGCCACCTTTGTTCTCTTGTTTGTGTCTATTTTTCACACACTAATGTGCCAGAGAGTATATTTTGTTTCTGTGTCAACAAATACTAGAAAAACTTGTACCACCGCAAGGAAAATATGTAGCTAAAATTTAGTAAGCAAGTTCTTTTGGCAACAGAAATAATGAAATTACTCAGCTTTTAACCTACATAAAATTCCCCTTCTTTCTCAAGCTATTAATAGGCATTTATCTGCTGCCAGACTAATAACACTTATAAATCATAAATGTTAAAGCAATGCTACTCACTGTACAATACATATTACTTTGTTCACTTAGAGCAACAATTTCTAGCATTTTTGATTATGTAGAATCCTTTCAAAGTGAAATTAATTGGTAAATTGTAGAGTTTCAGTTTATTCTCCAGGAAATGCAAGTGAATTTTACTTGCAAGTATTTTATTCACTTAAGAATACTGCTCAAAATGTAGGCTTATCCTTAGATAGAGAATTCAAGGCAATAGAGACAAATTATGACTTTTCCTACTTCAGGTCTTGGCAAGCCTGACATTTGTGAATTTCTCTAACCACCTTAATTATGCTTCTAGGTCTACAAAGACAAGATTGGAGATGACTAGTATAATCTCTAATGCTTGTTAACTGAGTGGCTTTGTCTGAGCTCTATTTAAATGGAAACTACACCAGAATTTCTTCATTATCTGTTATGTTTTTTCTTTACTCTTTGGCAAACTCTAATGGTCATTCTTTATTCCTACCAATGTTTTCTGTCTCTTCTACAGAGCTAGTTCTGCATTCTATTTTCTACTCAGTCTTTAACCAGCTGGATGTTAGAGACATTCTTAATAGAACAGTTAACCACTTGTATTCCAAACATTTTAAAGGATTGCTCACTTTCACTCTGCTGTTAATTCTCACATAACAAATAAAAATATTCAAATATGATTCATCAAATTTTTATTTGTGCTATTTGCATTAAACTTCTAAATTATCTTCTTATTCCCTGACTATAAATAGCAGTCCCTCCTCGTGAGTAAATATAAAAATTATGGAAAATAATACTTAGTTCTCATGTACTAAACAGAGCATGTATATTTATTTATTTATTTATTTATTTATTTATTTATTTTTTAGAGTATTCAACATTTTTGATTATGTGGCTACTCTAGATTGTTTCTCAAATCACAATGTACCTGTGGCCTTCTACTCTGATAATGTAGAAAGTGGATCTAGGTGGTATTGCGAAGTACTTTTCTTCTGAGTCCCTTAACCTAAGTTAGAAAATAATACCAGAGTCCCTGTCCCCCAAGTCACACACCTTTGTCTTTCACTTTTTAAAAAAATATTTATTTATTTATTTTTAGGTGTAGATGGACATAACACAATGTCTTTATTTTTATGTGGTTCTGAGAATTGAGCCCGGATCCCATTCGAGCTAGGCGAGCACTCTACCGCTGAGCCACAATCCCAGCCCCAGTCTTTCCCTTTTTTTGAGTCCAGAAATTACTTCAGCTGTCACCTAATTTTCTACCCGGCGCCTATGCTCTCTGGGATTTTCCACTGCCCTGAATGATCTTCTTCAGCCTCTGCTTCCATGTTCATTCCTGTTACAGGCATCCCCTAAGAACTCTTAACATTTAAAAAATAAGTGTGATCATTAGGGTCTCTATTGAAATAAACTTATGAGGATAAAAATGAAAATCCAAATATTGGAAAAATCAGTAAATTTAAGAAAAGAAGAAGAAAGAAAAAAGTGTTTATCTGTAGTTCACAAACTGGTGTATAGTGAAACTTGTTGCTCAGGGTGTTAACAGAAAGGCAGGAAAGTGTATTGTATTCAAATAAATTTGAAAACTCTGGCTTAAAGTAATATAGGTTTATTTGGTGCAGTCCATCTTAGAACCTTTAAGTGGCGATATAATTTTGAGTTTGTGGGAAGGAATTTAGGCCCACGTGTTCCTAACTTTTTTGACCTACACATATGGAATTGTTACAACATTTCTTAAGGTGATTGCTTTCTCAGGCCCATTGTCAATGGAGTGGAGTCTGATCTGACCTATGTGCAGTTTTCTTCCACTTATAGTAATTCTTTTTTTTTTATTGGTTGTTCAAAACATTACAAAGCTCATGACATATCATCTTCCATACATTTGATTCGAGTGGGTTATGAACTCCCATTTTTTTACCCCAAATACAAGTTGCAGAATCACATAGGTTATACATCCACATTTTTCCATAATACCATATTAATGACTGTTGTATTTTGCTACCTTTCCTATCCCCTACGATCCCCGCTCCCCTTCCCTCTCATTTTCCCTCTCTACCCTATCTGCTGTTGTTTGATTCTCTCCCTTGTTTTTTTTTCCCCTTTCCCCTCACAAACTCTTATATGTAATTTTGTGCAACAATGAGGGTCTCCTTCCATTTCCATACAGTTTCCCTTCTCTCTCCCTTTCTCCCACCCCACTCGTCTCTGTTTAATGTTAGTCTTTTCCTCAGAGCATGTATATTTAAATCAAATAAATAATAAATAACTAATGTTGATAAATCCAATCATTATGCATGACTTGCCTACTTTAAAGTTGTAAAAATATTTACTTATAGTGAGTATAGGATAAGTCCTTATGTAAAATAGGCACTGGTTGTTAGCTAATGATTAAAAACTAGGAAATATGATTATCTATATTTTATATTCTAATTGAAATATAATCTGTATTACTACATATGGGTAGACTGAAAATAATTGAAAAGCAAAATAGTCATGAAAGGAAATCACAGGAATGATATAAGCAATTAAGGATTCAAAATGTATGTGCAAGTATAATTATCCATAAATGATCTAACATAAGCTTCCTTGGACATATGGGTAAACTATGAACTAAATTAATGGTGCATTACTCTCTACAATTCCTCTGAAGAGGTTGTGTTACTGTATAAAGTCTCAGGACAAATCGTGGACAGACACCCACCAGGAACTTGACTTCCCCTTTCTTATCCAGTTACAACTCCATCGATATAAACCACTTTAGTCTATTAATATGCTGTTGATTATTCATTGTTTTTCCACAAGGGAGACCCACCTGCATCTGTGCGCTGGGGTTCACTGGACCAAACTGTGGTAAGACAGTCTGTGAAGATTTCTGCCAAAATGGAGGGACCTGCACTGTGACTGCTGGGAACCAGCCTTTCTGTCACTGCCGGGCTGAGTACACTGGAGACAGATGTCAGTACTGTAAGTAGAAGCACCCTCTGGGATCCTGTTTGGCGGCATAGCTTTATGTTTTCATTAGTTCATCTCCATTGCCTGCATCTCTGCTCCCTCCAATATCTTCATTGTGGCCACCCTCACTTTTTCAGGTTGTATTCCTCAAACCCTAATAATTATTTACCTTGTGTCTCACTCTTCTTTTAAATATTTTATTATTATTCCTCCCCAGCTTAGTTTTCATGGTGCATTATTATAATCATTGCCTTGTATACATTCTCAACTCACTTGGTCCCTCTTCTCCCCTACTGCATTTTCCTGGGGGTGGGTTGAAGGGTTGAGGGGGAACCATGGTTATTACTCTCAGTGTTTGGTCTCTCCTGAATTTGCACTCCACAGATGAAAGCAATTGCAGGAAAACATATAATATATAATAAAACATATAATATATAACATATAATATATAAAAACATATAACATATAATCAAGCCTGCTGATTGCACGTAAACTTTTATTAATAATCTCAGATGGAAACTCACTATAGCTTTTACCATATTTCATAATCCATCAATCCTCTATCCTAGCTGTCTACATGATACCTTCTCTGTTCTCCTCAAATTTATGATAGTCTCCCCAGTTTGTGTTTAGCTGAGATAATTGCTTTCTATCTCATTGATAACAAGCAGAAACCATCTGAAGAGAGTGGCCACAGGATCCTGCCATTCTATTCACCAGTCTGCTTTATCCTGTGTTTACATGCCTGCCGTTCTTTTAATTACCAGAAGCCTTGTGCTGAATTTAGTCCTGTATTCTCCATTCCTGCTGATCATTCAGCTCCTTATGGATGTATTTCCTGCAATTGTATTCCGTTTCCATATTTATTTCTACAAAAGCCTTCCTTATTCCCATATATTTTTCTATTTACAATCTAATTTTATTCATCTCTTTTTCAATCTTTTATTTAATGGTAGCATTAATTTAATGCACCATTATTCTCTACAATTCCTCTATTAATGTTTTTCCTTTGACTCTACTTCTGTCTAGCTTTGGTCTTTATTGTTCTGCTGAAACATCTTTTATGCAAAGTCATATTGATTGATTTTGCTTACATCCTCTTTGTTGCTCTCTAAGGATTCTTTCTCAATTCCTATTGCATAACTGCTTTCAGGAATTAATCACTCCCTCTTTCTTAAAGTATCTTCTTCACTTCTCTTTATGAATATGATATCTTCTTTATTTTTTCATTTCACTTTATCATTTGTTTCTTCTCAATGTTCTTTGCCTGTTCTTTCTCATCTCCCTGAAGATAAAATTTTTGGCTCCAATTTAAAACTTTGCAATGATGGCAACTCTGTCTTCTGATCTCTTTCTTCTTTATAGCACTCACTCCTAAAATCAATAATTCCTGGAAATCCTGCATATTTTAGAATGACCCCAATGATTTTTTAAAAATATAGTTTCCCAGATATCATCTAAAAAGGTTTGCAATTCTGCTTGCCTGCATCACATTCTTTCTATTATTGAAAACTTCCAAGGTGTTTCAGATATGCAAACAAAGTTCATACCCACTACACAGATGATTTTACCAAATTCCATTATCATCCAAATAATGATTCCAAATTTGTAACTCTGGATAAACCTGTCTCCTGAGTTTTAGATTTCCTACCTAATTTTGTTCATGTAATCACATGATTTAGTTCTAAATTAACTTGATTTTCTCACCCAAATTTTCTTCTATCAGCATTTCCTCTTTTTAAAGGGATTTAGGGAAATAATTGTTGTTCAGGAAAAATAAATAAATAAATAAATACTTCTTGGTTCTTCTTTCCCAGAATCGAAATACCTCTCACTACCTTCACCCTCAATATCCGCATCCAAGGTACAAGTATTTCTTGTCTGAGTTTTTACTAACTGGTCTCTATATTTCCTCATTTGTCCTCAGTATATATTTACACTTTACCCATAATAAAATCATTTTCCAGCTTATTTACATTTACAGAAGAGAATAAATACAACACCTAATTCATTGGTAGGATAAATGAATTCATAGAACTAATAGAAGGAAATGAAGTAATTATGAGACCCCAAATGTAGAAAGATCATCATACATGTGATCAAGATGTAAAACAATTTTTCATCATGGATAAAATGTATGCCTATGATCTCTGGTCATTGTAGGAAGTACATGGATAGGTACAGAATTCAACTACACACACTGGCTTGTTTGGGAATGAAGAGTAATACAAAATATCTTGCCTCTTCTATTTGAGTGGGGCCACTTCTGCTGCAATACAAAAATAGACTTAATTTTAAATTGCTATTTCCTTTCCAAGAGTTTTTTTTTAATATGAGACCAGCCTCTTCTTGACATATATAAATGCCCTTGTGTAAGCCATATGTAACTTTTCATCTTGCCTGTCCAACTTACTGTTCATCAGCAGTCGATTTGAAAATGTTGTTAATCTCTGCTTTACATTTTCACACTACAAATGATTTTCGTGCATGTCAAGGTCAAAAGCAACTATTGTGCCATGTAATGAAGATCCTCATTACTCTCCATCCTAAGTTTGCAATAATTCTTCATTCTAGTAAGACCACACTGATCACCATTTTCTATAACAATGCCAACTTCCCTGACACTGTGACTCTATTCAGCTTGAACCACATTTCCTTTTTGAAATTGTCCCATGTCCTCTGTCAGTGAGGATCAAGATTTTTCCCTCTGAATTCTATTACTTTGTCTTTCTTCTGACTGATTACTATTACCTTGCATTTTCCTTAACTCTGTACATTCCTCCTGTTTGGGACTCTTTGAAACCAGTAACTTGTCAAATAAATAAATGAACAAATAATCATACAGATCAATAAATAAATGAAAGTGGCTTGAAGAAGAGTTGATGAAAGAACAACCAATTCAATGTACAAAAACTGCCGTCTGGAATGCATGTGTGGTTAATCTTGAGTTCATGTTTGCTCCTTTTGTCTCTTATTTCCAAATTGATGTGTTATAATCGAACATCAGGGGTTTTTTTCCCCCACATTGTTAATAAGTTTTGTTCTTTTTAAATTGAACCATCAGTGTTCTTGATGCTCTTTGAACTGACTTAAAAATATTATATAGTTGTCACTATAGAAATTTGTAATTTTCAAAGAATAAATTCCATCAACTTATATTTTAATTAGCAACATAATAGAATCACAATCTGAGGTAGCCTGATGCTTTATAAAGGACTACATTATAATTTTATTATCACTATTAGCAGTCAGAGCACTTCCCACTTTGAATGCAAAGCATTTATTAAAATTAACCAATTAATTCTTAGACAGAGGTTAAATAACTTGCTCAAGGTTCTGAAGTTGTAATATTATATTCAGAATGAGACCCCAGGAGTTGTTGATCAGGATGTCAACAAATATTCCTGCAAGTATGTGAGATGCTCTTCTTTGGCAGCATAATAAGTCTGTGGACAGTGTCATTAAAATGACAAATCCAACAGAGTAATAAATTTAGGATCTATTAGATGTGAGTCAGCAAGGTTCAATGAACCTGATGTTCTGTCAAAATTGTATCTAGCATATACAAAATCTTTTCTCTATAAATGAAGGAATGACAGAATGGTTCATTACAGTGCCTAATTAAAGGTCCATTAGTGGGAGGTAAAACATCAGTTCTTAGTTGTGCTGAGTAAAAACATTTTACAACTCTAATAGCAATATAAAATCCTGAAGTCTGAAATGCAAATTAATTTTAACAGCAGCAGCCCAGGAAGGAGAGACAGAGATAAATAATGGCAAAACTGAAATTAAATATTTTTTAAGCAAGTTGTTCAGGAACAAATATAGCTACATTTCACACTATTCTGAAGCAAGGTTTTCTAGGTAAGTGAAAACAAATAAATAAGCATAGCAGTTTGCATTTAAACCAAGGTGTTAAGTGTGAGGTCAACAATATCTGAGGTTATTTGTAATTAAATGATAATAACCTTAGGGCAAAAGTGCCCATTAGAACCAACTCAATCTGTGTCTAAGAACAAGATAGTCAAATTAAATAACAATCTGCTCATCCTCTCATTGAGAGTTTTGAAGTCCTCTACTAATGCGCTTGGGAACCATTATAATTTCGATTAGAACTCAACTTATTAGAAATGCACCTGTATGGCTTACTCCCACTGGTTCCAGTTAAGTATAGACATTAAAAAACATCTCTAGTTTATAAAGTTAGCAGTACCTGACAAAAATCCAAAGATATAATGTGTTGTAATTGATATTAGAACCACCATCTGTCAAGTAAGTTAGAAAGAGTTAAGCATTGTTGATATGGGACTACTGTATTTGCTGACATAGTGGGATTATTTTTGGCATTTATCTCTTTGTCTTCTTAGATAGCTTTGTTCTGTCAGTCAGTTGGTCAGTGTACATCTCCAATGTTTATCGAGAGTCTGTCTTTATGTTAGGTATTAAGACATAGTCATGTTAGAAACATTTCCTATTCTCGAAGAACTTTCAGTGTATTGTGTGTCTCAGAAAAGGAAACAGGTTATTACAAGACAGTTTAGTGAAATATGGAGGTTACAAAAACCTACAGGAAGAATATGAATTTCAGCCTAAAGGGGGGATTTCTTAAAGGAAGAGATGTCTGAGTCCAGAAAAAGAAGATAGTTAAATGAAAAGGAGAAATGATGAAGGGAAAAAAGCACAGAAGGGAACACTTTTGGAATTTATCTTTTCTCTCTTATTTGACTTTCCTGGGGGTAGAACAGCAAGTCAATTAACATATACTGAACTATCAATGTATTGCAGGGATACATACCATGCTCTAATATTTTGCCTATGAATGTGTAGTATTTCAACAAATACTCAAATAACCCTTTGAGATTAATGTTACTAATATAACTTTGAAAGTACCAAAAAAAATGAGATTAAGTGGTTTTTCTAATCTTTCACACTAGAGAACATGTGAGCCACAATCTGTAGCCTTGTGGATCTGACTCAAAAATTATGCTTCTAAAGGCAAATTGTTCTGCCAT